GTACATGTATGTCCCCAGGCTACATCTTCAATGGTAAAAAGACAATCGTCTTCCATTTGACGTCATCTCTGCAGCGCTGCCTTGTTTATTTCTGAGCGGAGGAGGTATTTTTAGCTCGGTTGGCAAAAACAAGGAGATAAAGACCGTTCCTTTGATGGGGCAGTCTATCTTTGTCTACAGTTTCCCGGTATTCCATTAGTAAATGAAAAAAAGTGGTGAATATGACAAACGACGGATTGACTGAATGAAACCTGATGCGACAATTAACCGCAAACTTTTGTTGATGTGGACGGGATGGCAGGGAGTGACCTTTTGAACAAAACGTTTGATGGATTTTTTTCATAATTTTCAGAAATTTGTGAGAATTTTTTTTTGCAAACAATTTTGAAAACTTATAAATTTGTATGACTCTCAACGAACCAATGAAAAAAATAACTTTGTGTACTTTGTTTTTGTTTTTCCTGGGATAGGGTTGTTGGGGGGGGGGGGGCTGCACAGAGTTTTGAGCCTTTAGCCACAGGAAAAATCTCATCCTGAACCATGGATAGTAGAATTACATGAATTGCACAAATTTCAGCAAATTCATCCAGATTTTTTTTTGGGGGGGGGGGGGAAGAATTCATGACAAACCACACAACAGACTGAAGAATTCAAATGCATGTGAAGTTGGCATGATTCGTTGTCGCTCAATCATTTCAAATTTTCTGACAGGGTAACTGAAAAGAAATCACAACCTACGCTGTTAAATAGCGAGCCGTGGAACGGCAGCAATGCGGACCAGGGTCGCCTCTTCTGATTGGTCGTCTGGCTGTGTGACCTCAGGGTCGCGTACCGATGCGTCGCCTTCCCAGAATCCTCTCCCAGGAAGCTGTCGCTCATTGAGCGCTGCTGGGTGCGCCTTTGAAGTATGATGCGCTGCGCCATGATGGCTTGTCCAAAATCAAACTTCAAATGATATCTTCAACTTAAACCTGTAATACATGTAGCTTGACTTGTAGACTTCAGTTTCCTCTTTCAATAGAAATACAAAAGATGACTAATTCTTTTCACTTTCTCTTCTCTTCTCATATGGTGAGGTACATGTACATGCACATTCATACATGTATCACTTCGATTTGTCACTTTCAAAGTGCACATTCGATGATGTACAATGTACTTTGGCACAACATTTTTTCAGTATTTTCTCACTCGCTGGTTTTCTTTGACTTTTCTCAGAATATTTCACACGGTGGTTTCCAGTGTAGCACTTTGAAAAACCAAGAATATTTGGCAATATTGTACATTGTAGACAGATAAACTTAGAGATCACACTTTTTTCATTACACTGTGGATAGATATCCTTGCACCACTGCGGCAGCCATGTTGGTCATGCTCCCTGCCCGCATCCAACAGTAAACAATGGGTTGTGGAGTCATCACATCAATGGCACCAGACTTTGCTTCCAAACACACGAAGTTGCATTCCAACTGTGTTTAAATCAACAGGAACATGTGAACACAGACAAAGTAGTTCATCGCTTTGCATTTCCTCGCTGAAGGTGGCAGCCTCTAAAATTTAGATCTCCATGCTGTCGATGGTACACACACTTTCAACCTCTTTGCAATGTATTGTAGACCTACATGTACATGTACATGTACAGGGTGAGTAAAAAAAAAACGAAACCCAAATGTCGGGACCATTGTTTTAGTGAAGTTCTGCATGTAGCACTTTCGAAATCTAGGATATGAAGGCCCAATTCATACGCTTTCTTTTTAGTACAAGAACCATTCAAATCATTCATGTAATTTACTAATTTTCAAGTTACAGAACTTTAAACACAACCACCGTTTTAAAGTTCTGTCCACGGATCACAAAAAGGTTGTTCTTTCAGCAAAATGAAAACAAATTACATACATGTACATGACATAGGGATGTGGGTGATTTGTTTTCGTTTTGCTGAAAGAACGCAAACCTTTCTAGCGATCCGTGGACAGAACTTTAAAACAGTGGTTGTGTTTAAACTTCCGTAACTTGAAAAGCACATGAGTGATTTGAATGATTCTTGTACTTCATATCCTAGATTTTGAAAGTGCTAATGCAGAACTTCACTAAAACAATGGTCCCAAAATTTGGGTTTCAGGTTTTTTTTTTTACTCACCATGTACATGTACCGGTACATGTTTGCAAACAATAAGAGTACATGTACATGTACATTTGAATCGTCTGTACAACTAATTATCAAACACTCCTGCGAACCGTTAGGTGTGGCGCCAATTGCTTTGGTAAAGTATACCACATGACGTCCTCCAAATGTACTGCTGGAAATATAACTCCACATCGTGCACATGACTTAGGCGAGGTGTTTGATTTCCGTTCCAAGGAAACACAACAAAAACAAAACACAAAACAAAAAGATCTGCAGCTATCATTTTGAGCCGGCTCCCCAATATGACTCGGATGATAAACTCATAAGGAAAGGAAGAGTATGGTTTTACAATTGCCACAAATGAATTCACCGCGGTGATAAACTACCACAGACAGGCCCAGCAGGAAATGTACACACGTCCGTGTATCATTTTTTGTTATTTATAACTTTGTGTGTTATCTGGGATGTCATGTGAAATATATACATGTAAAAGGATCCAGTTGGCAGGACAGGAAGGAAATGTAATCTTTTGGACCACACTACCAGAAGAAGTGACACAAATACTGGTGGATAGGAACATGTGCCTGATGGGCCAGAAAAGAATATTTTGTAAACTACGTGTCCATGTACATGTAAAAAAAAAAGTAAAGTCTGTCCTGAGCCAATGTGGCTCATCAGGCCGGCGTTTATCTCCGGTTTCAGTAGCATGAAACGACTGAGAATATTTCTACTCCCCCTGGATGGGATACTAGTCCATCGCAGGTTACTCCCCAGCTAATGCCGGTACCCATTTATACTCCTGGGTGGAGAGGGGCAAGTGGGGGTGAAGTGCCTTGCCCAAGGACACAATATATTACCAGCGGCTGGATTAGAACCCCGGACCCTCTGATCATGAGTCACGAACCCTAACCACTAGGCCACACACTCCCCTGGCCTATGTACATGTAGTCAGCCGTAAAAAGAAATGGGCCTTTCAAAACCACATGTACCGGAAATTGGTTACAACCAATTAAGTTTTAAAAAATGTGTTCATGTATCGTTTACTGTGGAAAGAAAATGGCATTTTCAAGAGAATGGAGTATGCAGTACATACTGGTACATGTTATATAAAGTGAAGTCTGTCACGAGCCAATATGGCCCATATGCCGGCATTTACAGCAAAAAATGTGTCTCCATCTCTGTTTTCAGTGGCACAAAATGACTGAGATTATTTCTTATCCTCCTGGATGGGATGCATGTAGTCCATCGTAGGTCACTCCCAATCTACACGTAATGCCGGTACCCATTTGTACTCCTGGGTGAAGAGGGGCAAGTGGCTTGCCCAAGGACACAACGCATGGCCAGCAGCTTGATTCGAACCCCTGACCCTCCGATCATGAGTTATGGACCCAAACCACTTGGCCACACTCCCCCTTCGCAGTATGCTGTAAACACTGACAATGATACACATCGCCACAGGCAGATCACACGTGTGTAATGTGTTATTGATTCCAACGAAGCTGCGTGCAGTGTGTTCCTGTATTTTTATTCAGTTTGGCATCTGGCCAACAATGATTGCACAGTACATTTGAAGCCAAAAAATGTCAGATTATCATAAATTTAGATCCTAATAAACCGTGAATGTGAACACAGCCATTCTGTGACTTGAAACAAGGGCGGATCAAGAAAGGTCACGGGGGAGGGGGGGGGGAGGAGGAGGGGGAGGAAGGGGGGGGGGCGCCCCCTCCGCACCCCCTGGATTCGTTACTGTAAAAAAATTGGGGGAGGAGAATTGTTTTTAATGGAGGGGGTGGGGGGAGACAAAAAAAAGTCACCCAACACCCAAATCAGACTGCGGTTTAGAGTCGGGCCGAACTATTGAAGGAGGGACTGAGGTTAACTCAAATAGATTTTGGTTTCAGACAGAAAAAGCTCATGTATTAATTTGGTCTTTCTCGTGTATGCCTTGCTTCTAATGTTTCACTTAAAGGCATATTATATAGGATCATTGGCTCTTCATGCATTTTGTTCAGTTTCAACAATAACAGCACTCAAAATCCAACTAGAATGTTCAAAACCTAATCTGCTGAAGTTTCACCTCAGTGAATTACATTTTTTGAGTAAATATTGAAAAAAACAAAAACATGCTCAACCTTTTGACCATAAAACACAATTTTGCTCATACCGGTAGCAGTCCGTATTTAAAAAAAAAAACATCAGTCAATTGACTGATCATTGGAAATCACCTACTGTACATTTCTTGATTTCTTCTGAATGACTGCAAGCCAGACGAAATAATTTCACGGGGTGTTAGATACGATTTTTAATGAGCAAAGTAAGCATTTTGATAATTCGGTAGGTTACAATAATCAAATAATCAATGATACCTTCAATTAACCCTAAAAGGGCCGGGTTATTTCGGCCATCTTTTGGCCATCTCGGGGGCGGCGGTTAAGATCTCGGCCATCGAGTGACGAACAATTTTGCAACTCGGTACATGCACAGGGCAACTCATCATGACCATACATGTACCCAAGAAATTTCGTGACTATACACGTAGGTCAAAGGGTTTTGGAATTATGGCTAATTTATTATTCATATATGTACGTTTTCAAGGCGTGTAGCGTGGAAAATGTTTCGCTGCGCGGCAACCCGTGGTCCGATTTTTATGTTTTTGGTATCAAAAGATGCGCAAGGCTCGAGGCATAACAGTCATAACAGCTCGGGTCGCAAACATTTTTTTCTTCAAATCTATCGCTTAGGGTTGAAATGTTAGGAAAATGTGGCCTACAATGTACACGTTAGTATGTACCCTGTAGCACAACTCTCCTCTGACATGAGTGTACATCGCTCCTCATGCGTGACAATTCTGACGAGACCAGACAGATCTACTTACCCTACTCCGTGGGGCTTGAAACTTGGACGACGGCCGCAGGGAATCCTTGTCAAATATCTCCCCATGGTCCTGGTCTGTTCCTTGGCCTGTAAATGAACAAAGAAGGGGGAAAATTGCATCTTTTTAAAGTGCCAAAATGGGCAAATAGTCAGGCAGTCCCTAGTGAATCGAGAAACAGATTTTTTTTGGTTGTAGTTTTATGGTTGGAACAGAAATGAAGATTTCCTGAAATGGGAAACAGACATTTTCAATTAACTGTACAACATTTGCAAACATCAACAAACAAAAGTACCAACTTATCACGAAATACCCTTACTTGACTGTATATTGGAAGTGAATAATACCCGGTAGTCTCAAGCATCCTGGCACCTGGTGTGCTGTGATTTTCAAGAAAGGTGAGATTTTTGCAACGATGGCCGTTGGAAGAAAACCGATTTTTTCCTTCTACAAAACTGCGCCCAATTTTTTGTCCACATTTTCTTTGCAATCGGTCACATCTGTGAATGGGTCTTTTGGAGGATTCCTGGCAAACACGTACACGTGTACCGGTATGACTACTAGGAACAGTTTAGGCATTTAGCCATTAACACCTGTATTTCATTGTATTACATTGTATTCATTCCCAGAGTGCCAAGGCAGATTGGGGCAGTACTGGAGCTAATGGATTAATATGGGAAAGCTTAAATACATGTACATGTAATAATGATAACAAAAACGATAATAATAATAATGTTTATAAAGCGCCTTTTCCTAGGGTTACAAAGCACTCAGAAAATGACCCAAAAAATACAACAATGACAAGGATAAAATGGAAAACCAAATGGAAAAACCACTGCCAGGCCCAGCAGTGTACAGTAAGAATCTTGCTACCATACATGTAGTTCCGACATGGCCTTCCATACCTGCATGACTTTTGGACCGGCCCCGTGGTATGCCTTCTATTTTTAGCCTCTGCATCATGTGACTGCAACCACTGTTAATCCAGACTTGCAAATCCGCAGCACGGCCGATCAACAAGATTCAGGTCAATTTACCGGAGGGAGTGCATGTACCATACATCAAACAGTCATGCACTTTATTCTAAATTTGTGTCGACCGTTTTATTCCAGAGTCTATCCCACAAGTACGCAAGTTCCAGTTTTAGAAGTTCTCCAACGTGACAAATCAATTTTTGCTGGTGAGTGGTGAGACGACGCTTGTAGTGTCGTAGCAAACAAGTTGTTGTCAACACCCTTCATCAGGTTTACAAAATGTATGTACCGTATGTGGGGGGTGAATAATTTATGAAATTGATATCGGCTTACCATATGGCACAAAACTGAAATCCAAAACTGATGTTTTTAACACAATGCTTGAACGAAGTTAGTTCCAATACAATATGTTTCAGACACAGACACAAAGAACACAAATGCAGCTTGGCTGATTCTCACAGACATGACAAAGAAACCTTTCTTGACGGTTTAATAACAGGAGTCGTCAACAATTTCGCCTCTGATGAAGAGCGACGGACACGAATGCCCAAGGAAGTTCCACACAGCGTGAGATGTCAATCGGCTTTAGTGATGACAAACCCTAATTACTGGCTGATGCTGGTGAGACAGGTGAAATCCGGGCTGGATATCGAAGACAAATGCGGGACCGTCCGTTTTAGAGTAATTAAGTTGCAGGATAATTGACAGCACTGAGGCACAGACTGAATAGGGAACATGTGTAGATCATGACCACTGCGCATTAGAGAATTCATGTACATGTACTGAGTATACTTTCTCCGGTATACCATACAATATTTACAGGTACAACTGTCGGTGGGGGGGGGGGGGGGGGGGGGGGGAATCGGAGGGGGAGGGGTCGGGCCCAAATTATTGGACGTCGTTTTAAAACAAAATTATTGACAATTTCCAATGTTTCCCCAAACACTTCCATACAAATTTTGTTAACTGTGTGTTCTAAATGCTTATGACAACTAAAATTGTATCATGCTATGCTTACATTTGTATTGTCATATTCGTCCAAGCAGTTTTTTGTTCCTACATGTACATATAGTCCATTGCCTACAATTGTACACCACACATTTTTCAAACATGGAAGAGGGTAATCCAGAAAGAGGAGCTACCAGCTACATGTACAACATGTACATAGGCCGTTGAACACTTTTTTCAACCAAACTACATGTGTATCTGCTATAGCATGAATACAATATTGACAATAAGACAAAATCAGCTGATCCAACGAAGCTTGCACACTCCACCGAAACTTGCTAACAATAAAGCTCCAAGACACTTAGTCCCATGTTGCAGCTAGGTGCGATGTTGAGCCGCTCAAACCTCATTTTTTTGGGGGGGCCCCACAATTTTTCAGATTTTGTTGTTGCCAAATTTCCATGCCAGGTTGATGATCATGGCTTAAGCTGAACATCCACACATGCAAATCCTTCCAAGGATGCTTGTACCGGTAGCTGTAAATGTAATATTCCGAAATTTCAAACACGTTCCGCGAGTTACATAAATTGTACAACATACATGTACAGGATGTACAGCATGTGCAAATTTGACAATTTGGTGTCACAAGCTAATGCAAGTTTTAAAATGATGATGTACGGTATACCCAAAACCTTCCAAAGATGACTGTATCTCATACATGTATATTCAAAAACAGGTTGAAAATGCCCACGGATCGGCTGTCAAACACAAACTGCAGATTAACAGTTGGGCTCTATCCAGCTCGAAAATTTAGTCCCACAATCTAATTTGTCGTAAATTTGCAGTGCTAAGTGACGACCGTGGCTCAACTTGATATGCAAATCCTTCCAAAGATGACTGTATCTCATATTCAAAAACAGGTTGAAAATGCCCACGGATTGCCTGTCAGACACAAACCACCGATTAAAACCTGGGCTCTATCCAGCTCGACAATTCAGTCCCACAATCTAATTTGTCGTAAATTTGCAGTGCTAAGTGACGACCGTGGCTCAACTTGATATGCAAATCCTTCCAAAGATGACAACAAATTTCAAATTATTCCAAGATCCAAGACAGGTTGGAAAGCCAATCCACCGGTACATATACTGCCTACCACGTCAGCGGGCCCTGTCGAGTCAAGCTCGTCGAGTTGGTACCAACAGCCACAGAGTTGTCGAATATTAAACCACTGGCCTGCACATACGCATCCCGACCGATCGTGCACAACAGACAACTGACCAAGTCACGTCGGTCTTGCGTTGGTAACTGATCCCGTGTCAATGTTGCTCTCGCGCCCCCAAGTCTCTGGGTAGGAGTAATTACACGAGATGCATTGCCCCGGTTCTAAGATTCCAATCAAGATAGAATGCCTGCCTTTTAAAACATTTTTTTCTTCTGACGGAGTGACTGATATCGGGGCACTTCTTCGTGTAATGAAATACGGTACGCCAATATCAAATTGGATATTACTGCAATTATTCCTTCCACACGTTGTTGAAAACAAGGCAATGATTTTTAGCTGCGGACGTTGCTAAGCATTGACTGTATGTGTAACTCAAGACGCAGAGAATCCTGTCCGTCGCTTGGTGGAGGGGAAAGGGGGGGGGTGTTGAGAACTGAGAGAAGTGAAATCGGTGAGTGACAACTGCAGATTTTAAGATCTTCTCTGATTGGTTGGAATAATTGGGCCAATTGTGTGGGAGGATAGAGGCACACGCACACTGTACACGAAGGCTTGAATTGATCAAGGTACAGTGTGTACATGTACATGTCATTTAAGACGTGCTGACTTGTAAAACAAGACGCAGCAAATCAGCAGAAACTCCGCCTGTGTTGACACACTGTGCACTGGTTCGTGTAGAGTGTACATGTACATGTATAGTGTTCCAGCGTTATAGAGCCTCATAAAGCTGAAGTAAGTTACAACTTGAAGAAAACCAACCGTTGTGTATGTGCTTACATGTATTTCCAAGTCCCCAATGGGATGGAGCACCAATGAAGGAACACGCAGTATACAGCACTGGTGTTGTTACATGTACATGTACATCAATGATGTCATTTGTTCGCCGGCAATAATCGCTGGTAATATAATTTGAACACGGAAAGGCACGAGAACAAACTACCCGGTACATGTACATGTATAGAATCATTCAAAAGTTGACCAATCAACAACGGTCCTCCTTACACAACGTAAAACCTACTGGTACATGTACACGTACATGTAGATGTGCATTGTACACGGTATTGTCTGGAACAAACAAAAGATGTACCGGTACCTGTACATGCATGGTCAAAGTTTTAAACCCTTCTTCCAAAGTACCCGGTATGTATGCGCATCTAGTTTTGCATCATAAAATTAGCTGTTGATCAGTTGATTGTGCACATGTACATGTACATGTACATGTACAGGATCAGTGGTGTTTCTCCGTTGACCAACAAAATGGAAATTATACAGCTGCAACAAAATGCCTGAAAACAAAAACAAACAGAAAAAAGGGCCTGCAGATGCACTCTTCCTTTTCGACTTGAAAGACTATTGAAGCAAAATGTTGACACATCTATTTGAGAGATGTACATTTGTACTTCATCCGTTCCACAATTGGATATTCCTCTGGAATTTCTTCAAGAAGAAACCAAATTAACTGATGTTTGTCTTAACGATGCCTTGCTCGCACTTCCACGCAGAAGTCGACGGTGAAATGCGTCAAGATAGAAAAACTGAAATCGGAGACGTCATTCAACGAGGATTTTCACTTCAAGCTGAGCCTCAATTCTAAAATCTGTCGATCCTCAAAATCCAACTTTGCGTTGAAGACAGCACGGAGGAAAAAAGAAATCCTATCTGGTTGAGATTACCAATAAGTCCTGTGGCCCTGTGGCTGTGTCGCCCCACCGAGTGGAGGGCTTATGTTCTGCCTCCGTACGCTACGAGGAACAGATCTGTTCTGATTGGCTCGCTTACGATCCCTCCTCCTAGCTTTCTTTTCCCCGTGCTGACCAAGCTTGCGTGGAGTGGGGCAGCCGCGGACGGCAACCACTTGATTGATTTGGGGCCGGGAAAAAATGCACTCACTGCAGGGCGAGGGTTTATATTCTGAGTAGCTGGCATGCTACAGATGAGGGTTTTG